CCAGAATCCACTGGCTGACGTAGTCCACTTTAGAGTCTGTTTGCCCAGGTATTCACTGCCAACACATGGCTGGAGTAGTTGATCGATTTGTTCTGTCCTCCGTCCTCTGCTGTGGCACCAGGTGTCCTCTGCAGGTTCCAACGGACTGTCCTATCCTCCACGTGCACCTGCATATGCTGTGCACTGCTCTGTCTTAGCCCTAAGGAGGTTCAGCTTTGTCACTCTGCCTTTAAAGCATCAAACGAGTCTTTAAAAAAAAATAGTTCTAAATTACTTGGCTCCCAGCTTTATTTTTATTGTGAGCTTGGGGTCAGAAGTCTATGAGATGCAGCAGTAAAAATATTGAAGTACTTTTTTTGTAGGAATTTAAGTACAGTGCAGTTCCTAAGCTTCTAGGAACTTTCGGATGAATTTCACAGATATATGTAGAGCTCCCACATGTGATGTTGTGATGAGTGTGTGCATGACTCACACGAGGCCGCACAGAATTCACCCTGGACAGCACCAAGGGTGTTTCCAAGCCAGATCTCGCATTTGCTCACCGCCTTTGTTCTAGCTCCCGTGTTGCTTTGTCCCCCCTGGAGTTACTGATGAGTCCCGAGTTAGATCTGCTCACCTGAGTACACACTCTTGTGTGACATGATGTTACACTCTTGTCGACTACTTATGTCCTGTGAATCAATGCCGCAGAAATGCCTGGGGGGGCTGAGAGACTGCGGGTGATCATGCAGCAGGGGCGTGGGTGTCGCAAAGCCTGCCACGAAACGCGATTGATTCTCCTCCCCAGCAGACTGCTGTTTCCTATAGTATGTTTGTATTGGGACTTGGGCAGATGGGCTGCAGGTTTCCGAGGTATCTTTGGCCTGGTTCTTGTGATTTGGGCCACTTTCAGGAACTTTAGCCACTAGGCCATCACACTGGACCCTTCGCTTAGAGAGTTAAAGGTACCCTTCTTAGTTCATGGCAATAGCTACATGATTTACACCTGTCCGGTAAGACCATTTAAAATGATTTATGTTCTTAAAAAGGACAGACTATTCAGCTTCTGATTTTGTGGGAAAGAATGTAGCATTTTCATGATTTAATGTCAATTCTTCATATTATTAAGGAAAATATTAAAATATTGGAAAATATTAAAACATTGGGTTTTATGTATAGAATCAATATTACTTATTGTCTTGAATTATACTCTGAATAGTTAATGCCTTAAAACTGCTATGTCCCGAAGATGTTTTAAACCAGAGATTTTGCTAAATCTGTTTTTTCTACATATGAATCTTTCTGAAAACTTAGTATAGTTATAGAATTTGACAGTTTTGATTTTTTTTCAGATCATTAGTTTACTCTGGGGTTATGTATTTGCAATTTTAAAGAACAAGAAAGGACGCTTGATCCTAGACACTTGATAAATTGTGTTTTCTTCTGTGTTTATGGTCATCTCATTACAGTTACACTAAGTAACAATACAGTGTCTGGCTAGGACCAATCCTAAAGTCAGAGCTCTAACTTCCCATTTCAGCATTTCTCAGAGCTTCAGTCCTGTTTTCTTTCTCTACCGTTTAGTTATATAAAAACTTGCCGTTAAAGACAGCACAGAGATCAGAGGTTAGGAACAAAAATTTCAGCCTGTTCTCATTTTTAAGTATTGTATTCTTATGTTTTAAATATTTATTTACATATGTTACTATATAATGCAATTTCTTACTTGGGAAGCTTTTCATGTCACTATGTAGGTGTGCTCCAGGTGGGTTTACCCATTTGTATACGTGTGAGTTCCTCCCTCACCACCTGTATGTGAATGGGTCCCGTGGCTTTTCTGTACGGATATTTTTGTTACTCATAGTTAGTCTCCCAACTGTGACATCCATTTTAATGATTTCTATGACTTTGATGTGTTCCCACATCTTTTCCCTTCTTAAACCATGGTAGCCAAGATGTGTTCATAAAAAACCAACCACTCCATTTTCAATGATGGTATTTTATAGGATCTTTTATTTGAAAGGCAGAGTGAGACATGTTCCATTTGTACCTTCTCTACCCAGATCCCTTTAACAGTCAGGGATGACTAGGCTGGCTTCCTGTACAGGTGATGCAACACAAGGACTTGAGACATGCTCTGCTGTCTTCCACAGTGCGCATGAGCAGTAAGCTGGGTAAGTGGGGGAGAGAGACAAACCCTACAGGTCTAGGTACACTCAGGGTCAGAGAGAAGGGAAAGATAGTTCCACAGTCATCTTCAGGTCCTGTCTCAACACAGTCCCACCAGGGTCAGGGAGGAGGAGGAGAGGTAGCGTCGAGACAGAAGAGTGGGGACCTTGCACAGCTCCATTCAGGCCCCTTCTCCAAACTCAGGCATGCCAGGGCTTGGGGAAGAGAGGGCTAGGGGACCGTGGTCATCTAACTGTCAGAGGAGAGGCGAGGCTGGATAACGGAGGACAGACGGGGATTAAAAGGAATCGTGTGGGAGAGAGGGCTAGTCCTTGGTCATCCTGCTCAGGTCCCCTCGGCAGACAGCCATGTCACAGGTGAGCAGAGGACAGAGGCAGGAGACAGAGCAACACGTGCTATGGGTCCAGACCCGCCAGGGGTTAGGGAAGAGAGTGAACTCTGACAGAGGGAGAGGACTAGAGCAGCTCATTCAGGCTCTGCCTTCGAACAGTCAGCCAGGGATTAGAGAGGAAGGGAGTTCCTCATCCATCCTCGTGCAGGCTGTCTCCAAGCACAGTGAGAGCAGAAAAGGGTTAGGGAAGAAGAGACGAGGTATAGAGTACCTTGGTCATCTCTGTTCAGGCCCTGTCTGCAAACACCCAAAGCCGGGGTGAGAGGAGAGATGGGGCAGGAAGTGTACAGAGGATATAGACAAGCAGGGGGCAGCATACCTTGGTCATCTCCACACTCACACCGAAAGTTAGGGATAGAGGGAGGAGATAAGATAGGGAGAGAGAAGGGAAGGGAAAGAAACAGGGAACGCTAGACTGATGTCTGGGGCCTCCCCACGTGCTTCAAACAGTCGGGGTCAGGCACTCCAGGAGCCTCTCCCGTGGGGGTGGTAGCACCCCAAGTCCATGCACCATTTCCTCTGCCTCCAGGCTCACCAGCAGGTCTCTGGAGGAGCGGCACAGAGGAGGTGAGAAATCAGGCATTGCAGGGTGCACCCCAGGGCTGCCTGTCTGAAGTTTTCTGGCAGTTCCATTGGGGCAGTGCATTACTGGGGAGACGCTGAGAGTGTAAGTTTCAGGAGCTGCCTGCTGGCTTTAGGATTTAAAGCTGGTGCCGCCTACCCTGATGGCTTGGTTCCAGGTTTCTTCTCTGTAAGCTGCCATGTTTCCATCACTGCTTCGGAGACTCTGCAGGTCTTGTTTGGATTTTGTTGGTTGATGACTTAAGCCAAAATCCAAACAAAAAACCACTTTGTTTCCTTCTGTCAAATCTGCCTTTCAGTTGAGACAAGTATCTTTCACCTGTTGGCCCACTCACCAAGTGATTGCAGTATCCTTGGCTGAGCTGAAGCCAGAAGCTTCTTCCAGGTCTCCCACGTGGATGCAGGATCCCAAGGCCTTGGGCTGTCCTCCACCACTTTCCTAGGCCACAGCAGGGAGCTGGAAGGGAAGTGGAGCATCAGGGACATGAGGGGTGCCCGTGTGGGATGCTGGCCACCACGCTGACCCCTCTGGTGGCAGCTTTTCCTGATGGTGACACTTTTTCTGCCTCCCATGTTTCCTACAAATTCACAAAGAGGTCTGTTTGGTGGTGGTTTGTTTTGATACAGGCCCTACTGTATGCTTCTATGTTAGAGACCCGTAGTATCTGCTGCTTAATTACAAAATCTAGTCAAACAAATATGCCATTTTTATTCTGAAGATAGTTGTGTCCAGGGTGAGGCATGTGAGGTGCTGCTGGGCTGCCTGCCCCCTGTAATTGAGCTGGACTCAGGCCAGCGTGGTCCCCAACTCCAGCCTCCTGCTCATGTGTGCCTGGGGTGACTGCAGGCTCCTGGAGACACCTGGGGAGCACAGCAGCCACTGAACATCTCCCTTAGCCTTGCTAAGATTGGTGTGACAGAAATCAAATTGTTCATGAAAAACATTCTAACATATCCTCACCACCTTGTTGCTGGTAATTCAGTGGTACCAGTTCAATTCAGACTGATAGCCAGGTTAATAAGCAGCAGGAGTCCAGTGGAGGCAGAGCTAGACTTAAAACACCTCCAAATGTCATATTGAATCAGTATAGTATATGTCCTCTTTCACAAGCTTGTCAGGAGCAGAAGTAGCAAGTTATACCCAATTTCTTTTTCAGTGGTCAAGTTAAGGTGCCACTTCGATCCCAAGTTAGCTTAGCAGGGAAGAGTATTCCCAGTTGTTAGCAGGGTTGGTTGCTCCTTAGTCCTGGTGGGTAATGTTCCCTGCAGGAGGCCGGGTCTGGGAAAGCCCGTTTCACCTCCAGTGGAGCCTCACCCCGAGAGTGCAGGTCACCTGTGACCTCAGGACATGAAATGTGTTGGTATGTTTCATAAAGCAGCATTTGTGCCAACATTGACAGTTACACTGAAAAAGAGCAAAAGTTCATGAAAAAGTAGTGTTTTTTTCCTAACAGAACTATTGCTGAAGGCCTAAAGATTTAAAAGCATATCACAGAGAAGCATTTTAATTAAAAGGTGATTCAAAGGAGAGGAGTGAACTTAATGAATGTTGAGACTTACCTTGGAGTGCACAAGGACTCCTTTGCTGTCGCGGGCCGTGTACATGTCCAGTTTGCAAATGGTGTTGGGGGTGTGTACCTGCCCTGGGAGCCAGCTGAGGGTCCTCCCTGGCGCTGATTCACTGTTGTGACCCACCCCCTGCAGTCCTGAAAATGAGGCATTTCAGATTACTGCTGGTATTCTGTTCTAGGCCACTTGGATTTGGGATTCTTCCCACTTGCGGGATTAGACAGGAGAGCGCGTGCCTTATGTGAGCTCTGCTGATCTACAGCCTTCCTTTCCCTCCTCCTTTTACCAGGCATATGCAGCAGTGTTATGGCAACAAGCCAATAACAACAGACAAAATCCAACCGAAAAGGCATGTTTTGGCACCTTTCTCCCAGAAGAAAAGCTTAACGACTTCCGTGATGAACAAATCGGACAGTTGCAAGAGCTGATGCGAGAAGCCACGAAACCTAACAGGCAGTTCAGCATTACCGACTCTGCAGACCCAAAATTATAGTCTACATGGTAAAGCTTCATCTGGAAAATTCCGTTTTCTTTTTCCACCTTTCATTGAAATAAAGTTAAACATTTTAAACCTTATTTCAGCTTTGAGAATACTCGGCACTGAAGCCATTTTTGGATGATATGAATATAGTATTTATCTGAGCATCCCTAGGAACAACTGTAAAGCCTTTTTTTTTTCTTCCCTTTTTCTGTATCAGTGTGTATGTCAGAAATGCTGTTCTGGCACCATCCCATTGCCTGTTCTGTCGTTGCCATGAAGCACTTACCAGATGATGCCAGAAGTATTGTTGTAATGTATGGTCATTCTGGAAGTGTCACCAATTTTAATAACCATGTACACGCTGTGACTATTCCATTGTCCAAATCATTGTTCATAATGGAAGGTTAAAATGAAGCATCATGCTTTATTGTTATACTATCAAAATGTATTATAATAATCCTTTAAGTTACAGCTACCTTGAGGATCTTATTCCTTAATGCTTAGAGTAAAAACATTTTCATAAAGCTTTATTACAATTTATTTATAGGTGAAGAAACCCAGATAGTGGGGTTGTCACTGTGGTATGAGGCCTAAGTCGCCACCTGCCATGCCAGCGTCCCATGCAGGAGCTGGTTCAGCTTCCTGCTAATGGCCCGAGAAAGAGCGAGGGAATATGGCCCAAGTGCCTGGGCCTCTGCCATCCATGTGGGCAGCCCAGAAGAAGCTCCTCGCTCCAGCCTGGCCCATCATTGATCATCACAGCTGTCTGGCAAAACAGTAGGTGAAAGATTTTAGTTTCTTCTCTCCTTGTAACTCTGCCTTTCAAATAGATTTTTAAAATTCCAATGGAAAAAAAAAAGTCTTTTAAGAAAGTCAGATATACAGAGAGGAGGAGAGATTTGCCGTCCACTGGTTCACTCCCCAATGGCCGAAGCTGTGCCCATCCGAAGCCAGGAGCATGGAGCCTCTTCCAGGCCTCTCATGTGGGTCCAGGGACCAAAGCTTTATGTCATTCTTGACTGCTTTCCCAGACCACAAACAGGGAGCTGGATAGGGAGCAGGGCTGCTGGGAATAGAACTGGTGCCCATCCCAGCACTGTGGCCTAGTGGCTAAAGTCCTCGCCTTGAACACACTGGGATCCTATATGGGCACCGGTTCTAATCCCGGCAGCTCTACTTCCTATCCAGCTCCATGCCTGTGGCCTGGGAAAGCAGTTGAGGACGGCCCAAAGCCTTGGGACCCTGCACCTGTGTGGGAAACCCGGAAGAGGTTCCTGGCTTTGGATTGGTGCAACACGGGCCATTGCGGTCACTTGGGGAGTGAATCATCGGATGGAAGATCTTCCTCTGTCTCGCCTCCTCTCTGTATATCTGACTTTTTAATAAAAATAAAATAAATCTTAAAAAAAAAGAACCAGTGCCCAAATGGGATTCTGGTGTGTGCAAGGCTACTCTGCTACTGAGCTGGGCCCAATTTTAAAACAAAATATTTTTATCTGAAAAGCTGAATTGTAATAGACAAAGTTTCTATCCACTGGTTTACTGTCCAAACAGCAACAATAGCCAGAACTAGGCTGAGCTAATCCAAAGCCATGAACAAGGAGTTCTCTCTGGGTGCCACACATGTGTACAGGAGCCTAAGTACTTGGGCCATCCTCCACTGCATTCCCAAGCCATTAGCAGACTGGAAATGGAGCTGCCAGGACATGCACCGGTGCCCGTGTGGGATACCAGTGCCTCAGACAGACTTAGCGTGCTATGCCCCAATAAAATTCTTAAAATCCTCAAATGGTACTCAGTCACCTTTAAACAAATTTGTGGTTTTCACATCCTGAAACTCTTTGCAGTGTTAGAGAATTCTAACGTATGTGAAGACATTGCCCTGCTGGGGTCCCAGCCAGTGGGACCTCGGGCTTCTTTATAGAGAGCCTCTTCCTGTCTCCCCATTGGATGCCCCAAGGCCCTGTCCCCCTTGTTTCCTCATCTGTGGTACACCTCCCCATCTCCGTTCTTGCCACCATTGTGAGCTTGGTACCCGCGTGGCTGACTTACCAGTAGTTTTATGACGTCAGTCTGTCACTCAGCCACCTGGGTCACAGTACACCCTGAGCCGTTCCTCCTCTGAAATAAAGAATCAGCACAGGTCAGGCCTTTGTCGTTTTTGTCTTTACAGTGTGATCCACATTCTCTCACCGCATCTCGCTGTTCACTCAGCAAGTATCTGTTGAGAGCCTCAATGTGCCAGGTACATTTCCAGATCATGGAGATGGCGCACACACCAAAGTCAGCACGCTCCTCTCACTGTAACGGAGATCTGTGGGTAAAACACGGCAGCAAGGGAACACTGAAGCCAGGCCAAGGGACCGCGCAGCACTTCCCTAACTGAGCTGGCATGCACCGGGGCACCAACAGGGCACTCCGGAGTGCCGAAATGGATTTCATGTTTGAAGAAAACCACAGCCGTGGTCCTTGGAAAAATCACCGGCTTCAGCCACTTCAGCCTAACTGCGAGGCTGGAGTTTCAGCAGTAGCTACGGTAAAGGGAGCCATCAGCTCTCAGTGACAGAAAATGGAATTGGTGTTCAGCAGGATTGCAGCTGAGGAGCCGTGTAGCATCCCGCAGGTGCTGTGTCAGGAAGACATAAATCCAAAGATTTGGACACTTCCAAATAAGACAAGGTGTGCTTGTTGTTGTTTTTTTCCTCAGTGTGCTGTGAAAATGCTAACTTGTGGATCGTGGAGACACGAGTGTCAAACATGGTCCTCCACCATGTGCCACCTTTGATCACTGAATTCATTTAATGTCATCCCGCTGCTTTCATTTCTGTCCCCATCCACCCTGGTCCCCGTGGCCTGGCACTCCAGGCAGCCCTGGGCAAGCCGGGTGTGCACTCGGGCACAGTGTGGGTCTCCCCTCTGCACTCACTTGCCAAACTCGGCGGGACCTAGACGAGGCTGAGACCCATAGGAAGTGTCAGGTATGCAGTGCTCCCCTTAAACCACTATTGCTTTCAGTGTTGCCTAATTCTCCTGTATGTTTTCCAGTTTTAGAATGAATGGCTTCTGTTTCTATCGCTACAAGTCTTGCATTACATACCCATTGCTGCGGAGTATCAGCCTCACATCTACATTTCACGCCTGAACTTCAGCTCTCTGTTAGAAATTCACATTAACGTTTCCAGCTCCTACCCAAGGCCAGGCTTGCCTTTCTTCCCCTCTCAGTGATAAGGCGTATTAGCATACCTGGTTTACAAGGTCAGAACTCAAGGATTCAGCTGACCTGTCAGCAGTTCTAGAGGCCCCGCTCTCATTTTACAGCAACCCTGGCAGCGCGGTGGTGGGTTGGGAGGTGCCTGTGGTGCTCTGCTGCTCCTGGTCCCCATGTCCTTCGCCAGGCGCCTCTGCGTGTCCTCGCGCCTGTTCTCCAGTTCAGGACTCCTCTTGCCTTGTAACTGGGTTTTCTTAATAGAACATGATAGTGACATATGCCCACTCAGGGTGGAGACCTCCCAGCCTGGCGCAACACACACTTGGGGACCTGCCCACCTACCCACTGCTTTTGCTGGCTCACAACATGGTCAGTTTGTGAGGAGCAGAGCAAACCACCCCAGCGGAAGCCAATTGTAGGTATAAGAGGAAGCCCTGCCAAGACGCAGCTGTCTGGCCTCTCCTGCCCAAGTTGTCCATCAGAAGCTAGAATCTATTCCAGGATGCAGTCACAGCAGACATTTTACCAGTGTGACAGTGGGCGAAAAGAATCTTAAGTAGCTTATGGAAATTAGAAATGTTACCTTTAACATGATCATTACTTGGAGACCTAAGATTCTATCACAAGGAAAATATTCGTAAGTGTGGACCAAATGTTTCATACCAACATATTATTAAAAATGGTTTCTAAGAGAGTGATAATTTGAGAACAGTAAACATGCCCCAGACATCAGGAAGGTGAACCAAGGTGTGATAATCTGTATAATTAAGTTAAATTGAGGTTTCCAAGTACTTTTTAGTGAAATGGGAAATTTTCTAACATTACTTAGAAAAGATGTGGTAAAATAAATAGCATTTTCACAAAACAATTTTTTTCAGTAATGTGACGAACTATATTGAAACTTCAGAGTAGAGGGTTTTTTGGAGAGGTATCTAGAAGCTTGCAAATACCCTCAGATTGAATAATTGCCAGTTGCTTTGGCTAAGGGAGTGAGGGTGAATGTCAGCTCTGGCTGTGACAATCCTTTGTAACTTAGTGGGCGGGAGACAGCACAGAGCCCGCCGGAGGTGTGGAGTCCCAGGGACACGGAGAACTACACCTTCCGGTCAGAGTGGGCTGGGAGGAAACCTGCAGCCCCAGTGCAGAGTGCCGGCCGACCGGGGAGAGCAGCCTCAGCTATGCAGGTAGCACAGAGTGGCTCTAGAATGAGTATCTGGCAAAGGAAAACCCTGCTGTGACCCTACTATCCTCCAGACATGATTCTGGGCAGAAAAACTGTTGGGGCAAAAGCATTGCTACGGATAGAGCGAGTTCTTCATGTGATGAGGGCTTGATTTACTAGGAAGGTAATTCTAAATTAACATTCAGTTCACCCAAAGGATATTTAAGTTAGTGAGTAAAAGATTAAACTCTGGCCCATCACGGTGGCCTAGTGGCTAAGGTCCTTACCTTGAATGCATCGGGATCCCATATGGGCACTGGTTCTAATCCTGGCAGCTCCACTTCCCATCCAGCTCCCTGCTTGTGGCCTGGGAAAGCAGTCGAGGACGGCCGAAAGCCTTGTGACCCTGCACCTGCGTGGGAGACCTGGAGGAAGTTCCTGGCTCCTGGCTTTGGATTGGTGCAACACCGGCCGTTGCGGTCACTTGGGGAGTGAATCATCGGATGGAAGAGAAGATCTTCCTGTCTTTCCTCCTCTCTGTATATCTGGCTTTGCAATAAAAGTAAATAAATCTTAAAAAAAAGAGAGATTAAGCTCCCTGGTTTCTGGAAGTTAGCATAATTCTAAGTAACAAAGTAGCAACCCTAATGGAACTTAGAGGAACTGGACAGTGATTAAAATGTTTAACAAAACATATGGATTGCAGTTAAAACAGTACTTGAAAGAAATTGGTTGAACTAATGTGTCTGGCTTAAATAAATTTGACTATCAACAAAAGAAACATCTCAGAGCACAGGAACAGAGCAGTCTCAGAAGGACACCAAGATGAGGAAGAAACAGTTAAAATCATCCTTGGGAAAGAACCAGTGACAACCTCTGGCAAAGTTCAGAGCAGGTACACATAACCTATATTGAGGAACAAACGAATGCAATTATGTTGTGACATTAACTAGATGCTGAACCCATTCTATTTTTTTTTAAATGACTACTTACTGGAAAAGCAGTTACTGTGGGAGATGTCAGGAGTGAGGGGAGTCTTCCATGCTCCCCTGAATGGCTGCAACAGCTGGGCTGGGCCAAGTCAAAGGCAGGCACCTGCATGGCCATCTTGGTGTCCCACAGTGATGGCAGGGTTCCCAGGACTTGGGGCATCTCGTGCTGCTCTCCTGGGTGCATTAGCCGGGACCTGGATCGGCAGTGGAGCAGCGGGCCTTGAACTGACTTCCGTCCGTATGAAATGTTGGCATAACTAGTGGTGGATTAACCCTTGACACTACACTGCTATGCCAGTCTGCCCACTGAAGACCAGTCAGTAAGTAGTGTGTAGCAGTGGACAACTGTTAAAAAAAAATACAATTAATAAAATAGAGGACCAATTCTATAGCAATTAAAAGTAATTGACTCAGCAATTAAAAATATTCAGAGGAAACTAAACCTTAATCTTTATGGCTAGTACTGCCGTGGAGAACCAAGCAGGTCTAGATTGAAACAGACCTTTCCAGAGAACAGAAGCAGATGAATACTCCCTAACTCATGACAGCAACAACCACTTGATTCCCTAGGAAGGCTGAGAAGGAAAATCACTGGTCAGTTTCACCTCGGGACACACACACATGTAAAATCCCAACTTAAGACAAACCCAGCGAAGGGCGAATCCAGCAAGATGCAGTAGCAGGCACGCATGCAGGAATCCAAAGTTGTTTTTGCATTAGAAAATCAATGACTATCCAGCACATAATCAAATTAAAGTGGAGTTAATCACGATCATCTCGTTAGTTGAAGGATGGTTTGCTGAACGTTCAGCATTCATTCATGATGAAAATGCTCTTACACTGGATATAAAGTGCACTTCATCAATCTAATTAGAGGGTTTCCAGCAAACATCTGCCACCGGCGTATGGCATTCCTGAAAGCTTTCTCCCGGAGACGGTGCAAGAGCAAGGGTGTCTGTCATCACTGCTTTTCAAGTCTATAATATAACTGGGTACGCAGAAAACGAAAGGAATCTACATTGTTATCTGAATAGAAGAAGATAGCATGTTTCCTAGATGCAAAAATTGCTGTGCAAAATTATATTTCTAGATAGCAACAAACTGCAAAAATTTTCCAAGCATATTTTATCAACAAACATTAAATACTTCAAGGAACCAATTTAGCAGAAGATCTTCAAAGCTGGAGGAAATTATAAAAATGTGACTTAAGGACACCAAAGATGATTTAAGTCAGTCAAGTGCACTCCATGCTCAGGGTTTTGGAAATAGGTTAATTGTCTGCACGTGGCTTACACTTTCAATGCAGTGTTCATCACAATTGCAAATGCTTTTAATTGACGAGTTCATTTAACATTTATGCCTAAGAGCAAAGTATCTAGAAAAGCCAAGAGACCCTTTAAGAAGAACTAAGTGACTGGGCTTATCTTACTGGTCATAGAACTATGATGGCTTTAAATATTAACAAAGTGTAGCGTTTTTATAATATGGAGCTTTGGTCATGGTGTAGTGCACTGCAGTGGAGAAAGGCTGCTTTTCCAAGACTGGCCCTGATACAGTTGGTTGTCTGTGTGAGAAAGAAACTGCAGTGCCTAGAATTGGTTGCAGGTTCATGAAGGATCCAATCGTAAAAGGCAAAGCTGTCATACTTGTGCATAATTTGAAAAACAGCCTCCTCTGGGATCCCATATGGGCATCGGTTCTAATCCCCACATCCCTGCTTCCCATCCAGCTCCCTGTGAAAGCAAAGCCTAAAGCTCTGGCACCCTGCACCCATGTGGGAGACCAGGAAGAGGCTCCAGGCTCCTGGTTTTGGATCGACTCAGCTCTAATGGTTGTGGCTGCTTGGAGAAGTGAATCAAGGGACAGATCTTCCTCTCTCCTCCTCTCTGTATCTGACTGTCCAATAAAAATAAATCTTTTTTTTTTAAGATTTATTTTTATTATTATTTTTTTTTATTGGAAAGGCGGATATACAGAGAGGAGAGACAGAGAGGAAGATCCTCCGTCTGATGATTCACTCCTCAAGTGAGCGCAACGGCCGATACCATGCCGATCCGAAGCCAGGAGCCTCTTCCGGGTCTCCCACATGGGTGCAGGGTCCCAAAGCTTTGGGCTGTCCTCGATTGCTTTCCCAGGTCACAGGCAGGGAGCTGGAAGGGAAGCGGGTCTGCCGGGACTAGAACCGGCGCCCACATGGGCTCCCGGGCGTGCAAGGCAAGGACCCCAACCACTTGCGCCACTGCGCCGGGCCCTAATAAAAATAATCTTAAAAAAAATGTAAAGCAGCTTCAAAACATTGGAACAAGAGGATTTTTGATACAGGAAAAATGAATGTGATTTTGTTAACATTACTTAAAAAATACTGTTTTGAGGGCCTGGCACGGTAGCCTAACAGCTAAGGTCCTCACCTTGCATGCGCCAGGATCCCATATGGGTGCTGGTTCTAGCCCCGATGATCCTGTTTCCCATCGAGCTCCCTGCTTGTGGCCTGGGAAAGCAATCAAGGATGGGCAGGAGCCTGGGGACCCTGCACCCACATGGGAGACCCGGGGAGGCTCTGGGCTTCTGTGTTCAGATGGGCACAGCTCTGGTTGTTGCAGCCAGTTGGGGAGTGAATCATCGGACTGAGGATCCTCCTCTCTGTATATCTGACTTTCCAACAATATTTAAGAAAATCTTTAAAAAAAAAAAATACTATTTTAAGGGGCCAGAACACTGGCTCAATTGGCTAATCCTCTCTCTGCAAGCATTGGCAGCCCATATGGTACCAGTTTGTGTCCTGGTTGCTCCACTTCTGATCTAGTTCCCTGCTTATGTGCTGGGGAAACAGTGAAGGATGGAACAAAGCCGTGGAGCCCGGCACCTGCTTGGGAGAAGCTCCTGACTCCTGCCTTTGCATCAGCTCCGACCTTTGTGGCATCTCGTGGAGTGATTTAGCAGAGGGACGATCTTTCTCCCCATCTTCTCCTCTCTGTAAATCCGACTTACCAATAAACATAAAATAAATCTTAAAAATATCCTCTCTAGAACTTTAGAATAGTAATAATAAAAATAAAAGATGGCACTCCTCTCTATCTCCCTCCCCACCCCAAGAAACATTGTTTTGCTTTTACAGTGTTGCTGTGGGGATAAAATGAATCCGTGTGAAATGTTGGGAACAATGCGTGGAATACAGCAAGCATTGTAAAGCATTCGCTGTCATTGTTGCTGCTGTTATTAATATGACATGGCCGACCGCCGAGCCAGTGTCAGCAGCCTTGTACCCCCAT